CACTCATGGAGAGAGGACAGTTGATTTAGGTTATTGGGTTTCACAGAGAAGTAGATCTGTGTATCATCGGCATTAGATTCTACTAAATTCCTATAAATGTTAAAAAACAAATACCCGGGGCGACCAAGGGTTTTATAATGCTGACCATCTTAACATGTACATGTATTATTTCCTGTCAACTCTCTACTGTGTTGTCTAATAAATAACAGTTCATATACTATTGTGTTTGTTGTTAAATATTCATATCAGTGTCAGACTCAAAAGTTCTGTGTTAGATACAAACATGAACTCTTCTCTGCAGTAGTGGTTGTTAACCGTCTTCTGCTTGTGCCCTGCAGGAGAACCCAGAGCGTGGGCCATGAACCCTTGAGGAGACAGGGATCCTCCACTACCAGCCGCCCCCCTCAGCCCCTTTCTGCCCAGGCCATCAAACACATCTGGGTCCGAACAGCTCTGTTCGAGAAAGTTCTGGACAAGATAGTGCAGTACATCGTGGACAACTCCAGGTGATGCGTTTTATTCTCTGCTCCCCGTCGTTGCACAGCAGTGACTCACAGCACTCCACTGCAGGCTTTGTTGTAGCTGAATGATGAACAGTCCCTTGAATTACCTATTTAGTGCTCCCTTCTCCTCCCGTGTTCGCTCTCTGGTTGCTTTGTTCTGTTCTCTGTCTGGCTAACAACCACCGTGTGCTTCAACAAGCAATCCACACTCGGTGCGTCAGTGAAATTATGCACTACCACTTCACTGTTCAAAGCCTCAAACATGAAGTGGACTAACGGGATTCACAGACATATGACAATGTGAATCACACTTATTGAATGGAGAAAAATCCACCTTAAAACTTGAGTAGCATTGTGTGATGTTACTGTTCCTGTTTATAACATAGATAATATAGAAAATGTAACATCATGTTCAGACGACTGCAGTGTAGTTAATCTAATCTGACCCAGGCATCTGTGGTAAATTTCACCAGTCACACAGTAGGAAATCTATCATAATCTATATATAATCTGACTGTGCCCGATGGTTTGGTACACAGAACCACCTTGTAAGTCTCCATTGGAAACTGTTTGGAAAAGGGCAGACACTTTCAAAAAAATACTTTGCAGGGAATTGGATGATCAACAAACTATATAATGTAGTCAAACATGCAAGCTCATGCCATAGCTTCAGCAGTTCCTCAAAGGACGTTGATTGGTCCGAACAACTGTGATTTTTGAAAGTAGTGCATAGATTAAAGCCAGGCAAAGTGTATTCTCGCGTGATTTCATGGCTCTGATTGGTTGTTTTCGCAAATGCCATTAAGAGCATTAGGAGGAGCCAGAGGAAACAGATTTTTCAGATTATGTGTCTTATTCACTTCTGTGAAGATATCATTAAGTTTCAGAATATAACAAAAAGTTATGAAAAGTACCTACTGCAGCTTTAATTGTGCAAATATGTAAGTCAATCAAGCTGATGATTATTTAGGCTGTTAGTGTGGTAAAGAATCTAAATTTGCTCAATGAATTACAACGTTGATCTACACATTCAAAAGTTAACCCGAAATTCATAATAATTGGAGTGTGTGCAGATGACAATACTTAGTCTACCACATATAGCCCAGGAGGACTCCAAATTAGACAACAGATTTAATGAGGTTTTCCTTTGAATCATGTATTTCTGTGTCTTTATCTGCAGTAAATACTATGAGAGGGAAGCTCTGATGCATGACTCAGTCTTCGGGCCCATCTTGGCAGCACTGCTGGGTGAGTATATTACACTGTGCTTTGACTGCCAAAAATTACCAGAGAGGAGTAACAAAAAGTACCAAACTACAGAACAAATGTTCCTAGATTCATGTAAAATCAACTCTTCGGTAAACAAAGCAGAAAGTTGTTCTGGGAATTGCGACCATAAAAATGTCCACAAATTCAACCACTCTCAGAACTATTTGTAAGGATATACAATTTAGAGTCACCTCCACTGACAGTGTGGAAGCAGGAGACTGAAGAAAGAGAGCCCAGACACAAAGTTTAATAAGCAAAACAGCTCAGCAGACTAAACCAGAGGAGACGAGCTGAACAGTGTGACAGCTGGCTGAAACACTCTATCCATACTGACTGACGAGGTAATGAGGTGCAGATGAGACAGATAGCGGCTGTAAGTGGGGCTGATGAGGAAATCAGCATTATGTGTTTGGAACAGCACCACACTGAGGACACCTGGTGGACAACTGAGGAACCCTTGGGACAGAAACATGTATTACTGTGTCCAAAAGTTATATATAACTACTAACACTGTTTTGTACTCTGGAGGGCGGCTGTGGCTCAGAGGTAAAGCAGGTCATCCACTAATCAGAAGGTTGGCGGTTTGATCTCTGGCTCCTCCCGTTGCATGTCGAAATGTCCTTAAGCAAGATACTGAACCCTAAATTTCTATGAATGTGGATCAACGAGTTAAATGAATTTTAATCTGCATGCTGCTATTTTTAATTTTAGGCTACTTCATGTACTCAAAACTACTTAAAGGTCCAGTGTGTAGGATTTAGTAGCATCTTGAGGTGAAATTTTTAGATTGCAGCCAACTGAAACCCCTTGAGTCAACCAAGCATGTAGGAGAACCTACATTTTAAGGTAATCTTATATTCAGGTGATAATCCACTAATGAAAACATACCTATGAATATTAGATTCCATTTATGACAATAGATCCTCTTTAATGTTACACACTGGACTTATTAATTGAGGAATTACACTGATATTTTTTATTTTATTTACTGTCTGTGCTGTGTTCTCAGTGGGGCCCTGTGCTCTGGAGTACACCAAACTGAAGACGTCGGATCATTTCTGGACGGACCCCTCAGCCAACGAGCTGGTACAGCGCCACCGTATCCATGGGGCCCACCGGGGCCAAGACACCTCAGCCGGCCGCCGGCCTGCTCTGGGGGTGAGTGTGGAGCCTGCCTCAGTCCTTAGGAGATGCTGGTGGACGGTGGTGGGTAGGAGTGCTCACTGACAATGTGTGGGATGGGAGTTGTTGTAAAAGTAAGCAGTTGTGTAAGACAGCTGTTCAGGATCTTTTCTGTTTTTAGATCCGCAAGAGGCAGTCCAGTGGCAGCATGTCAGAAGACAGGTTTGCTGCATCAGCTAGGGAGTATGTGGAGTCTCTTCACCAAAACTCCAGAACACACCTTCTCTACGGCAAAAACAACGTCCTGGTGCAACCGGTATGACTGCACATTCTCACTTTGTGACCAGCCTTTCTGAACAATACCTGAACAATGGGTTTCAAGTTGGATTTCCTCCATAATCCTACAGAACCAGTGTCGTTTTAGTTTCCGATCTAAATTTGTCCCTTATGCAAAATAGGTTTATTTAGGAGCGTTGCATAAAGCATCTTAGGTTGTCCTTTTACCTGAGTGTTTAGCATACAAGTTGTGCCTCACTTATAGTGTCCAGTGGGCTTCAGTCACCATCATTTCAGTCACTGACTGTCTCTTACACACATTATTTTACTTTAAGGACTGCTATGGATCCCTTAAAGTTTTCAGAGAAAATGGTTCCTAAGGACCTTTTAGCAATGCATAAGGGAATACCTAAGTAGATACGGACAAACACCAGATCAAAGGGTTCTGTAATTCGGTTTAACCAACACTCACACACAAATGCATGTTAATGAGGATACTCAAGGGAAAATATTGGACAAGAGACTATGAAAGCTAAACTCCTAACTTAACATTGTAGTTGTTATTGAGTGTTTAGCCTGTTTTCTAAAGCAGACATTTACATATCAGATGATAGCTATCTGTCAAATGATCATATAAAATGTATACTGTGGCACAGATTACACTGATCTGTAAGTTCATCTGAAGTGAACACTGTACTAAATGTACACTATGATTTAATCAGACATAGTATCAGTGTTACAGCTACGATGTGTGCCTCTAGCTCCTAGCTCTCAGTCTTAACTTCATGTCAATCCTTGGCATAAGTGTTTTGATAGAAACTTTATTCGGATATGACAGGTCTTTGTGGCGCTGTGGAGGCCCTGAGGCTACTGTTGCTCTGGGATAAAGGCAGAAATCCAACTGGAAAGCCTACATACATGCAGTACACACAGACAGCACTTTGCACCCACTCAGCTGGTGTACAGATAAATTGCAAATGATGGTTATTTTCATCTATTATTGTGCTACACACACATAGACACACAGTGTTTTGTATGTGTGATCTTTGAAATGAAAGCTGTCTTTCTCCTGCCTGTAATGTGCTCTGCGCTGCCAAGTAATACCAGCATGTTTGGCCCTGGGAATGCATAATGAGCACATATTTGCCTCCCACATTGCTCAGCCTTTGACAGAGCTAACACACATGGCTGAGTGCACATACACATGAATCCAGCACTCACCGCACAGCATGCATGTTAAATAGTACAGTATATGCTTCTTATTCTGTTTCCTAATTTATAACATAGTTTTTGTCTATATACAGAGTAATAATAAAACAAAGCAATACAAATACATATACAGTATTTAACAGCATCTGTATGAATAGGATAGTCCTATATAAGATCATATTAGACTACAGTGAGAGGCCCTCTTATAACCTGATTTCAAGGTTTTTTGCTTGTTCTGCCATGGAGACTTTGTTCATTTACCATTGTCACTTAAATCTGATCAAATATTCCTTATGAAGCAGATTAGCTGAGTTTTTGAGTGTCACTTTGATCACCTGACTTCGCCAGGTGGTTTGTTACACAGCATCATATGGAAAGTAGTCACTGGAATCAGTTTGGAAAAGGGCAGGCACTTTCAAAAAATACTTGGCAGGTGATTGAATGAACTGATTTATTACTGAACCATATAATATAGTCAAACTCTTAACAATGTCAGTCGAAAGAAGAGCAAAAACATCTTATCCATTGAGAGAAGCCTGTAATTCTTTGCTCTTCTTTAACTGAATAAATACTCCCTAGTTCTGCGCTACCCTAATCTCTTCAGCAGCCGCCATTGTTATTTGCGACTTTTCAACTTTGAATGCTGTTTAAAAATTTTGGGAAATATGCTTATTCATTAGCTTCTGAGAGTTGGTGAGAAGACTGAAATCAATCTAATTTCTGTGCATTAAGAATGACGCTGGAGTCCAGAGGCGATTAGCCACTAACCACTGGTGGTGTTGACACCTTCAAAATCTCATGACATGTCCTTCCTTCTTCCTTCTCCCATGATAGAAGAAGGACATGGAGGTGTTGCGGGGCTACTTGTCCCTCCATCAGGCTGGGGATAACCTCACCCTGAAGTGGACACCCAACCAGCTTATCAATGGCACGCTGGGAGACTGTGACCTGGAGAAGAGGTATCCACAACACCCAGCCAACACACCTGCTGTACAATTATAGAAAATATACACATGATCTGGTTACTCCTTGTGAAAAATGTGCATTTAATGATGCTAATGATGATTTGTAATTCAACAAGCTCTATTTTACATTTGAATTTCTTTACTAATCCAAAACCTTTCCCTCTCTGTTAGTATCTACTGGGACTATGCATTGACTGTCCCTCTGCGCCAGATAGTCTGTATCCACTGTCACCAACGCCGTGAGTAAACTGCTACTTTTCCACAATATGTCCTCATATCACACTGCACCCAGCACCTATATACAATATATATAAGGGTGTCATGTCATATCAAAATATTGATTGTTTGTGTTGATAAAGTGTAAATGTGCAGGTCATATCACTGTTTTCATGCTTAGCGCCCATCATGTATCTTGGTGAATGCTTCTTCACCTTTATATTGCCTCTCTGTGCATGTACACTACAGTTTATATATCTATATCTCAAAAGAAAAAGAAAAACATGGCTTAAATTAATCAAAAAATGTATTACATGTGTCAGTCTGTCCTATTTTTCTTCTCCCCACTCATCCTTGTATAATATTTCTTTCCCTATATTCCAGCTGACTGTGGCGGTACCCTGGTTCTGGTCAGTCAGGATGGGATCCAGCGGCCGCCCCTCCACTTCCCCCCTGGTGGTCACCTCCTGGCCTTTCTCTCCTGTCTGGAAACAGGGCTTTTACCACGGGGTCAGCTGGAGCCCCCCCTCTGGTCCCAGAAAGGCAAGGTGTGTCACATCATTAGCACTGTTTTCAAACTTAAAGCCTCTACATTTATTTGAAGGCCTGGCCAGTGTTGATAATGCAGGTAAGAAAATACACAAGAGTGAGTGCACATATCAAACCGTCAGAATTAGCAACCTTTCACCCAAATGAAATCACTCCTGTCTTCAAATTAAATCACAATCAAACTTGGTACAGATATACGGTATGACCTGGATACTTGTAGACAACATGCAGACTGCACTAAAAATGTAAATACCCATTACTCAATTGCAAAAGGGGGTTGTAACACAAAGGACTGCGTTCGCTTCCCTAATGGTGAAGCCATTTTGACATAAATTCAATTTTGGCATTACTATTCATGAAACCTTCCCCACACACAGTTCCTAAATTTCCTGAGGACCGGACCTGACTCAATGTCTACAGTCTTATTTTTCTGGGGGATTCAATGATGTTTGCTGTGATAGATCCAATTTGTCTGGATCTCCTGGGCTGATGTTAACAGTTGCAGTTATCATTCAGTATTGTGGCTTCATTTTTTTGTATTTGCAAATTGCCCTGTTGCACTCATATTTTCTAGCTTGAAGAAGGGATGGAATGGAAGGGTGAAATGAAAATGTGAACTCTATGATAGTAGAGAAGGACCATAAGCAATGTGATTTCAATGTAAACAATTAAAGCTGTGGCTGTGAAATGCAACATGTGCAAAACCGTGTTAAAAGCCTCCTCTGCTTTTTGTCTGTACAAGCTCAGATATACAGTAGTGGCTGTTGGGGTCACTTTGTCTTGGATCTGTGACAGAAGACCACTAAAAGAATTAACTTTTGATGCCTTTAGTGCAGCCTTAATGTTTGGTCCCTTTTTAAAGGTGCTGTAAGTGAAATTAACAATGTGGCTAACTTACTGTCTGTTCTTGCAGTTAGCAGCCCCTCCTTCCTACCTGCCCTTGAGGAATGCCTCATAATTAAGTTCTCTCTCTGGATTAGATACAGTGGGAGCGGGATACCAGAAAATATATTTTCAGTTTACTGCAGAAAGGAGGGACTAGGAGACCCATGTTACTAATTCAACAGCAATTTAACAGCTATTTGGCCATCTTTTTTTCTTTCAGTGTGAAAGAAAATCTATATTGGCACGACTCTTTCCATTGCTGTGGACAGCACATAAAAATAAGTTCATCCGAAGCCCTTTCAATAACTCCCAATGGTTCTGGTTTGTAATAAACACCAGAAGCACCTGTCTCGGAAAAAGCCTTTTGTACACTTTAATACATTTGTGTGTGTTCTGCAGTGAAAAGTGGTCACTAAATTTGAGATGTGATTAGCCTAGCGTAGCATAAGGACTGGAAGCAGGGGAAACAGTTCATCAAGAGTCAAGGTCATTATAGCAATGTAACTCTCCCTAAAACCTTAAATAACTGTGCCCCTGCTTCCAATTGTTATGCTAAACTAGGCAAATCATCTCCTCGCTCTAGCTCCGAACTTAACGCAAAGACACGGCAGTGATATTGATCTTTTTATCTAGTTCTAGCAAAGAAAGCTAATGAGCAACATGTTCCCAGATTTTTTTTTTAAGGTTTGAAAGCAAGTTTTCAGGTGGTTAAACTCCAAATCTCACAACAGTTGTTTTAATAAAAACCTAAGTTCCTGTTTTGGAAAAAGCCTTTTGTACATTTTAATACATTTGTGTATGTTCTGCAGGGAAAAGTGTTCCCTAAACTGAGGAAGAGGAGCAGTGCAGCCAGACTCATCGACCAGGACAGGAACGGTGAGGAGGAGACAGCTGCTGACTATGTGTTTCGCATCGTCTACCCTGGATACCGCTACGACGCTAGTAAGTAACACTTTTACATTGTCATGCACACGGGTACAAAGTATCCCCAAGGAAGTAGTGGCTGCACAAAACAAAAATATAATCTTCCCTCTATGGTTAACACCAATCTATGTTATTGCTTTTGCCTTTTGAATAATAAATACTGTATGTATGTATATCTGCTTGAATTTTGTTTTCCCATGATGTGATTACAAAGAACGGGTGTAGTGTGGTGTCTCTCCCACAATGCTCTTCCTGAGGTCTGTAGGGTGGCACTGTTCTAACTGTGTTCTCTGTTGTCCCACTGGTGCAAGCAGTCACCATAAACTACCACCACACCACGGGCAGCCGCGCTCCGTCGCTGGACGATGACGAGGAAGAGGAAGATAGGCTCCATGCTATGATCTCAATGATCTGCTCGCGGAACCTCACAGACCCTAATGTCATGAAAGGTTTTTATCACCTTAACACACCCACCCAACCCCACCGCCCCCACCTCCCACTTCTAAGACCTCACCCCAGCTTCAGACGTTTCTCCCGCCTCCCACCCTGTCATGCCCCCCCAGTCTCTCCTCTCTCCTCCCCCTCCCAACCCCACCCCA